ACCATGCCCTTGGTGCCCATGCTCATGCCGTCGGAGACGCCGATCGTGTTGAAGCGGTAGGGGATGAGGCCGGCCTTGGCGACGGACTCGCGGACGACGGCCGACAGGTCCATGAGGTGCATGTTGCAGGGGTTGCCCTCGTACCAGACGGAGGAGATGCCGACCTGGGCCTTGTTCATGTCGTCTTCGCTGAGGCCGGTGGCGTAGAGCATGGCCTGCGAGGCACCCTGGGACTTGGGCTGGGTGATCTTGGACGAGAATTTGTTCAGCGTCTCGTCGCCGGCACGCGAGGCCGTCGTAGACAGGGTTCGACTGGAGAAGGCACCAAAAAAAAAAAGTGTCAGTATGCCATGTTCACGAGAGATCGAGCTGGGCGAGGGGCGCATTGGATCCATTGGCGCAGGGGAACATACGCATAGCTCGAGGGCGTCGACCGAACCTTCGAGGCAGCTCGAAGGGCGGAGGACCGCATGCCAAATGACCTCGAAAGCATGGTGGGCGGCGGTGTCGGAGATGGCGGCCGAGAGGTGTAGAGACCGAGAAAGACCTTGGTCCTGATGCCGGGCGCACTGCTTCGACTTTATCGTGCCGGAATGGTGTCCGTGATGAGTCAATGGCGAGGGCGTGGGCGGCGGAGAGACCTAAAGATCACAGGGACAGACGCTAAGACGAGAGAGCTTCTTCAGTGCGATGCCGTCAGCTCCAGGGAGCACGAGCACGGGCACTGAGCGAGCACTGAGCGAGCACTGAACGAGCACTGAACGAGCACTGAGCCTCAGCCAGCGGGCGCACTGAGCACGAGCACAAACGTCTGAAATTTTGGGCGATGTCGGCTCTGGACCCTCCCCGCATTGCAATAGACGCCGTCCCATTGGCCGCGTCCATCTACCGTGTGCCCATCGGGAATAGCGCGGATGCACGTTGGCTATGGGGGTATGTAGCTACGCGGATACCGTCTAGTTGCATGTTCAGTTCACTCGACAGACGGACGGGGTCGCTACTGATGGTGCTCGAGATCCCTTGTTTCTTGTTTTGGTGCCATCCAGATAGAGAGCATCGAACAGCCGTCTTCACATGCGACCTGGCGTGGCACTCGGTGGTGCATTGTTCGTTGGCTTGGCAGAGTCAAGACTTGGCAGAGTCGAGGCTTGGCAGAGCCAACAGCTCACGCAACTGCAGAGTACTGCTCGGTCTGCCATGTAGCTCACCTGCTGGTGGCACAGGCGTCGTGGTGATGCTGGACAATCACAGCTGGCGTATGCGTGCTACTCACAGCCAACCTGCCTTGGGTGAGTGAGGTTGGCTTAGAAGCAGAGCCAGTGAACTCCCGTCGTGGGGGGGGGTTCTCTCGATCGACGTATGATGCCTTTTCGAGTGTACTCCAACGTTGGAGACGACTGCATGTGGATGAATCCATTGATGTCCCACTTCAGTAATCGTTCCGAATGCTTCGTGTTCCACTTCAGTGGTCACCGAATGCTTCGTGTTCCACTTCAGTGGTCACCGAATGCTTCGTGTTCCACGTCAGTGCTCACCGAATGCTTGGTGTCCTGCTTCAGTGGTCTCCGAATACGCGACGCCGTCTCTGTCCTGTCCTGCGATGCCGTCGGTGCTTGCGCCCACGTGACGATAAGATAAGGAGCTCTCGCGACGCCCAGCCGCCATCGTAGCAGCAGGCGACGGACGGGAATGGGACAGTGACGATTCGCGACAGTGCAGCTCCCCTTCGTTTTCCCGGCATCGCACCACCATGTTCTGCCGCCGCCCTCTCCTCCGAGCGCTGGGCACCGTCCCAAGGCCACCGGCGCGGGCCATGTCCCATTTCGCAGGCGGCGGACCGGCCCAGCCGCCGAGCGCAAGCATCCCCATGCCCTACATCACCGAGGTTTCAGTACGTCCGAACCCTTCTGCGCTTTCTCGCCTTGGGCCTTTTGTGGCTGCAGCCCGGGCTGACCCATGACACAGTCCAGCGCTGGAGGACATGTTAGTGCCGCGCTTCGAAAATGCTCCCGGCGACCCCCTCCCTCGGCTGACGCGGTTTTCCTCCCTTTCCCTGCCAGACGACATCTTCTCCAAGCTGCTGCAGGTACGCCTCCTTTCTCGAACGGCCCCTTTCTTGACGGCCACACGCAAGACGGCCCCTTCTTGACGGCCACACGCAACGGGGAACGCGGGCGGCCACTGACATCGAGTCCCACCCTTAGGAGAGAATCATCTGCCTCAACGGGGCCATCGACGACACCGTCTCGGCGTCCATCGTCGCGCAGCTGCTCTGGCTCGAGTCGGACAACCCCGACAAGGCCATCACGCTCTACATCAACTCGCCCGGCGGCTCCGTCACCTCTGGTACTGTCCCCCCCCCCCCCCCGCCCTCCTTTATACGCATGGCAGCAGAAAGGCGCTGACAAAAGAGGGCGGCAGGCCTCGCCATCTACGACACAATGACCTACATCAAGTCGCCCGTCTCGACCGTCTGCCTCGGCGCCGCCTCGTCCATGGGCGCGCTGCTGCTGACGGGCGGCGAGGCGGGCAAGCGCTACGCCCTGCCGCACAGCTCCGTCATGATCCACCAGCCCCTCGGCGGCACGCAGGGCCAGGCGTCGGACATTCTCATCTACGCCCACCAGATCCAGCGCGTGCGCACCAAGCTCAACGAGATTATGCGGCGCCACCTCAACGCCGCCTTCGGCCGCGACCGGTACTCGCTCGCCGAGGTCAACGACATGATGGAGCGCGACAAGTACCTGACGCCCGAGGAGGCCAAGGAGATGGGCGTCATTGACGAGATTCTGACGCGCCGCACCGAGAAGGACGAGAAGGAGAGGGGGGATGCGCAGAAGACGAAGCCGTAGACGGTCATAGACGGCCGTGGACCGCCGTGGACCGGGAGCCGTGGACTGCCGTGGACTGCCGTGGACTGGGCGCCGTAGCGCTGGGAAGCCAAGAGTTGGACGCCAGCCTCGTGTCAGCTATAGTCAGGAAATTGATCATCATCCATTCATCCATCAGCAAGCCTAAAAACGTAGAAAAAAGAGCACGACGGGCGCTGGACGCGGAGGCTCTTCAAGCACATTCATGCCCTGCAGTGCGCCGTACCCCTGACGCGACCCGCCCCGCCAAACGCGTCAAGCTTCAACGTCACTTGCCTTGCACCAGCTCCCAAGCACCCTCTTGAACTCTGCCATCCTTCGGACCCCCCCCCCCCCCCCCAACGACCACCAAAACCTTCACCCGTTCCCGGTGATGCCACCATGCACCTCCCTCCGCAACGCCTCGTCCCTCCTCGGGAGGGCTACACAACGGCGCCCCCCATGGCGGCACGCCAGCACGAACCGCCCCTCGCGCGCTGAGGACCCAAGCCGCCCTGGCAGCGCAGGTCGACCGAGCCCTGCAGGCCGGACGAGCACGGCGCCACGCTCAAGCTTGCACCCGCACAGCAAGACGATTTGAATCGGTTGTCTGGCGCGCCTGCCGCTGTTCCGCCCGTTCAATGGATCCGCCGGTGGATACGAGGACGGCGGCGGCGCTTTTCGCACGCCAAGCCCAAGAACGCCCGCTCTCACACCTATCTCGGCCGGGTCAGGAAAGAAGCTCTACCTCAACCCGTACGGAACGTCGGAAGGGGGCCCCGGTCGGGGGGGGGGGGGGGGGCTACCCCCCCGGGTTTGCCCCATTTTGGGGTCGGGGGCAAAGAATTTTTGGGTGAGGGGAAACCGGAAAAGGAGCCCAGGACTTGGGGACCCCCTGGGGGGCTCTGAAGGGGAAGGAAAAAGGGTTGGGGCGTTATTTCCTTTCAGAATTTGAAGGGCGCTCCGAAACCCAAAAGGGCAGCCCTCGACGTCCTCGAGCTTCTCCGGCAGCCCCCGCCGCGTCTCTCGAGGCCTCAGCGGCCAAGCACCATCGGCCATGCTCGCCCCGCCGCGCCCCACCTCTCCCGCTCCGGCCTGCTGTCCGCGCCTCGTCTGGCCGCGCACATGCACCGCCTCGTACTTCGATCTGCGCGCCCCGCGCCGTCGAACGCCCTGCTCCGCCTCGCCCGTCTCGACGCCGCGCCCGCCCGCGGCTACCTCCGCCCCTGCGCGTCCTGGGCCCAGATCAACAGGGACATGCCCCACCGCGGCTGCGTCCTGTGGTCGCCCGGCGAGGCCGCGGTTTCCGCTGCCGAGACACCCGGCCCGTGGGCGACGCTCGACATTGAGGGCGCCAAGTACGAGGGCAAGATGCCCGTCCACGACCTACGGCGGCTTCTCGGCGACGACCACCTCGCGCGGTTGCGGGCCGAGCCCGCCTTCGCCGACAGCACCCTTCTCGTGCTCGGCAAGCGGCGGACCATCCCGGCGCAGCTTCTGCTGTGGAAGTTGCAGGGCTACCTTGCCGAGTATCCTGGTCGCGACGAGGCCGAGGCGGACTGAATGAAACCTGTATAACAGAGATACCCAAGTAGCGAGCGATCTCAGAGCCCTGCGACGATGCAGTCAGTGCTACTGAAAATTAGATGTAACATGGCACAATCCAACAAATGTACGCTTAGTTTTAAATCGTCGTCCATTTTCAGTGAGCCGATGACCATGTATAAATGTACAATTCGGTTGTCCTTCCTGTGCCTCCAATCCGCCATCTCCCGGGCAGCTTGACCAAGCGGTCGCCGCAAGCAATGATCCTCCTGCGCCGCTGCCAATGCTAATGCTGTTAGGTGTCGGTTTTGATCACCTCTAACCTGGTATCGAACGCTCCGTACAACACAAAGGAAAAAAGGGGGCAAAGAAGATGGAGAGAAAACGTCGTAGAAAAGAGGCAAAACGCCCCGTGGTATCCTTCGCTGAAATAAGTGAACAAGAACTAGAAACAATAGGCTTGGTATCAGGGGAAAAGGAGAAAGAGCCAAGGAAATAGGGGCAAGATTACGCCCGCATAACCTCCTGATGTACAAGCCTCAGAACCCATTGCGCCTCACCGGCGCTTGCGCACTGGAAACACCACTTTTTGATGCTTCCCGCCGCACCGCCTGTCGCGGGCGCGATACCAACCTCGCCGGTTGCTGTGCGCAGCTCCTCCCAGATGCCACAGATGATACCGCGAGACCCCATTGGCGTGAAACACCCTGAGCCCAATACGGCGTCGAGGATGATCCGGGGTGCCTCCGAGTCCTTCCTCGGCAAGGTGGTGACTGTGATGCGCTTCTCGAGGCCGTGATTGGCACGAAGTTCCTGGTGCCAACCTGGAGGCGGTCGCCTAATTTGAAGGCTGCAGTTACCATAGTCTTCCCACTTGGTCGCTGTGACGAGAAGATGAAGGCGGATGCGAATGTTGTCTGCCGACAGTGGTTGTCCGTTGGTTGTTCGTGCTGATGAGTAAAGAGATGGTGCCACAGGAGAGGCAGCGCCTCCCGAGGAACCCGACTCAGAAGCGTAGGTGCTGTTATTGCCGTACTGCGAGTTCTTGTCGACGGAGGATCGGGCAATGTTGAAGGAGAGGTTGCCGCCTCCAGTGAGACGCTTGAGGAAGCTGGAGGCCGAGATGCTCGACGACGGCGCGATGCTGCCGCCCTCCTGAGATTGCGAAGGCGCGCGGGTCGACGCACGATAGCTGTTCTTCCTACCGAACCAGCTACGGCGCCGGCTACTGCCGTCGTCGTCACGCTCAACGGGAGCCTGCCTCTCGCCAAAGTTCTTGAACCGCGCATCGTTCTCAAGTTGAATGAACTTTTGATTGTTGAGGCGAGCGTGGTGAACAGCCATGTACAGATTATAACACTCAGTGCTGGAGGTGCAGCGGAAGCGGAAATTGCCACCTCCAAGGTTTTGGTGTTGGCAGTGTTCTTGCACAGCGGAGCGGATCTCAAGATCAAGGACTGTGGACTGACGGAGCAGCACCAGAGGGGTGAGGTCAAGGGCGACGAGGGGCTTGGACTGTTCCTCATTGGCGTTTGTCTGATCGATGACGAGGCTGTATGCTTCAATGATTCCGGGGCCTACAATGACGGAGCACGGTTCGCCAGATATGTCTTTCCATACGCCTTTCTTGTCGGACCAGTAAGAGAGTGTTGCGATGTACTTGGTGAATGTGTCAGGGGTGCCGGAATTGCGTCTTGGTAGGCCGGCCTGAGACGCCGAGTTGGAGGGGGTCACGCTACACAGAGACTCCAATACCATGGATCCTTCCAAAAGGTGTGCTGGCGCGGGAAGGGGTACAGAGTCCTTGATACTGACACCAAGCTCTGTCTCGGGCACCTCAGTGCCATCTTCGGAGTCGTCGTCTGAGTAGTCATCATCCGAACTTTCTGTGAAAGAGTCGTCGGTCACAGAAGAATAATCCGATGGCAGGTATTCGTGTTTGAGTGGAGACGAAGTCCGCCGCTTGATACGAGAACTCTCTAGGGTGATCTCAGGAGCCGGCGACTTGGAGAATTCGCGATGCACCGGCGGGGGCGGAGCGCCGTCTTCCCGATAGGTAGTGGTGTCGCTGGACACGTCAGAAGCAGTCGCATCATCGAGCGACAAATTCTCAGGTCGCATGCTTTCTTTGAGAGGGCGGCTGCGGTCATTTTCGACGTGCGCAGTGTTGTAGGACTGCTGAGTAGGAGTCCTGTCTGGGGAGGTGTTCTGGAGAGCAGGCGCTGAGGCCGTGATGGGAGTGGTTGGAAGGCTGGCAGCTCGGGAATGGTATCTGCTCGGTGTTGGTCGCTTCACCGGTGTTGAAGGCTCGGGGGACGCTGACCCTCGGGTTGGAGAGGGAGGAACGCTGGCGCGCAATCGGCCGCCCACAGGTACATCCGTTGCCTTTGTGCGTGGGGAGGAAGTAGAGGGGAGCGAGTCTGGTGTTATGATCGGCGCCCGGGACAACGGCGGTAGAGGCGTGGAGCCGAGAATGTCGAGCCAGTCGTCAACCTGCTCTTCGTCGTCGGTCGTCAATGTCAGAAGTTCGTACCATGCTTTGCCATTGTGGGTACCCGAAATCATGATAACGAGCTCGAGATCGTTTACTCCCCTACGAGCTGACACGGCAGACGCTGGTGCCGGAGGAAATAGAAGCCATGTCTGGCGACTGCCTCCAGTTTCGCGGATGAGCAGGTCCCCTTGGTCGTTCGGACGGGAAGGGTTATCTCTGTGTACCAACTCGACTCGGCACTCCAGTCGCTGGCCATTGGAGTGAATCAAATTGAGGGAGAAGAGGTCTTTGGCGCTGACTTGCTTTGTGGGGTCAATCTTGATAGAGCCCAGGGGTGCCAGCGTCCTAAGATCTCTTGTCCGAGACGTGTCGGTGTTGTAGGCGTCTTCGTCGGTTACGCGAGCCGACTCTTCCTTCTGGCGGCGGCGGGCCTTTTCTTGCAGCACTTCATAGTCACCCACGAGAGCGAGCGTGTCGTTGTTCGATAGCAGCGTGTGCGCACCCTTCACTTGTCAGCGATGACCACTCTAGCGCACATCTCCTCACATACCTTGGCCCAGCTTGTGAGCAATTTGATACGGAGCACGGGCCGTTTCAACAGATGCGCAACGTCGATTCTCTCTCCGTTCTCGTTGATCACGTCTCCTTCGTCATTGCGCGGCAAGGCTCCGATAAGCGAATCCTCGTCATCCAGGCGACCGGCCGCCGGGAGAAGGTTGACGATGAGGTCTTGGAAACCAAGCCGCCAGGCATCGAGGTAGCTGTCGTAAATTGGGGCGGCTGCTTGCATCCATGATACGAGGCGGTCAATATCGGAATGAGAGGCCTTCCTATGGGCATTTTTCAGTTTCTCCAAGGCGATGCCCATGTTGACGACTGCTTTTGAAAGCCCGGTCGGTTTCGTGCCAGGCGACCCCGGGCCGAAGAGCCCCGAGGTGCTGTTGCGGTCGCCTTTCAGTACAGTCGTCAACAGGACTGGGATGACGCCGTCGACGAGTGTCTTCAGCTCTCGTTGGTACAGATTCTCGTCATCGATAAATTCCTGCATGAGGTCGCCCACCGTGACAGATATCACTGAGTCGGTGTGGCTTTTGCCTTTCCTCAAGCTCGGGCGGGATCGCGTATTGAGCAATCCTCCAGGCACATAACTGTCATCGGGCAGCGACAGCACTGACACCAGGTCGGAATGCTTGGTCAGTCTCCGCTTAAGGCTTGTTCCAGATGTGTGGCTCCTCTGCCGCGAGACCGCCGTGTCCTTCGTAAGGGCAGTAGATTGTGTCACAGTCGTATCGGAAACGATGGAGGTCAGGTCTGACTCCTGACTGCTGTAGCCCTCAACGGAGCCTACGATTGTGGAAAGCTCATGTACACCATTTGTTGGGGGCCGCCGCCGGGGACCCTGCATAGATTGTGCCTTGCCGTCACCGACAGACGAGGGCTCATCGGTCCAGCTTCCACTAGAACGGGACCGTCTGCGGCGATCATCATATCGACTCGAGTAGTCATCGTCATCGTAGCTGTCATAGTCCGGCTCAGGTTCCCTCTCGCAGCTGGGATAGACTTTGGGCGTGAAGAAGTGAGCACCAGACTCCCCCCGGAAGGCCTCTTTGAGCACTTCTCTGAACGGCTTCTTGCCTGCGGGTTTGAGAGGTGATGACGTGGCTCGCGTAGCAGCTCGTCGTCTAAGACCTGCCGACGTAGGCGTCGTGGCAGGACTGTGAGCTTTCTTTTCGTCGGGGTCCCGACGAGGCTCTTTGTTCTCGTCGTTTTCGGTCGAGGTCGTCGTGCCTGTGTAGCCTGTTGATTCGGTGAACCCAGTCGACTCCGTAAATCCTGTTGATTCGGTGAACCCAGTTGACTGTGTAAGCCCTGTTGACTCGGTCAACCCCGTGCTTTCTGTAAGTTCGGTGAGTTGAGTGAGCTCCGTTTTGGGAGGAGGCGATGATTTCCTTCTCCTGTTTTCTCCCGAAGGTCGTCTCCCGGTCGCGTTGTCTCGCACATGCTCCTTTGAGATTGAAATTTTTTCGACGTGTTTCAAACCTTCACCGTCTCCGCCCTCCACAAAAGGATCGACAGTCTTGCTCAACCACTTCTCGATACTAGGAGGCTTATTTGCTACGATGGGTTTGGGAGGCTCCTTGGCTTCGTGGAGAATCTTCTTGCCTTCTGTAACCACTTTCTTGAAGACATTGGGGACAGCCTTGAAACTCGGGTTGCGCTGCGCTTTGGGACGCTTGCCCTTCCCACTGGGCAGGTCGAGCTCACTGAAAGCGGAGAAGCCAACGGGGATGTCTGCGAGGGACTTGGCTCCAGCTGCACTGGTGAGAACACTGGAGCCAAGATCCGAGTCCATGCCGGCCCGAATGGCAGATTCGTCAGTGCTGATCCACGACTGATCATCTCGTATCGTGTCGTTTCGTGGTTTCGGTGGTGTTTGTCTCCGGCTCACTCTCCGGGGCCGTTCTCCAGAAGGTTTCCTTGTTGGTGTGTCTGGACAGGAATCGGGTTCTTCGATGACCTCTATACACTCTGACTCGTCTTCTTCCATGACAACAATGTCGTCTCGCGTCGGCGAAGGCTTACACTTAGAGCTTGATGATGGTCGGCTGGCCGACAAGTGAGACGATGAAACGTGAGATGAGCCGCCTGCTTCTGATGTGTCGCGGGTCGGCTTGACCCTAATGCCATCGTCTCGAAGAGGTGTCCGTAAGGGCTTGACGCGTATTCCGTCGTCCTCTAATTTCTTCATCCTCAACGGTTTTACACGGATTCCGTCATCGTCTGAGGGTGGCGGTCGGGACGAACTTCTGGAGATATTGTCCCTCCCCTCGCCATCTGTTGCGGCTCCCCTAGACTTGGACCTGCGGTGCTCGGATGGAGGTGGTGACGCTGGAAGTTCAACCTTTGCCGCCCAGTCCTTGATCTTCTTGGATACAGGCGGGTTGACGGATGGTCGCTGTAAGAAGCCCTTAGGGAGTGGCATAGGGCCGGGGTTGGGTGTTGCCAGCTTGGCCTTCGGTGGTGATTTCGCCCGTGGTGGGCTGTTCTTCTTGTTTTTCTTGGCCATCCAATTTGTGTCGCTGACAACTCTTTTCGGCGGGCCTTTGGACCGCGAGCGTTTCGACCCCGGGTCTCGATCTGCAGACTTGTCGTCGTTGGCACTAGTAGCCCCAGTATCGTTGTGCACAATAGGTTTCGCCGGCTTTTTCTTTTGCCTCGACTTGATGCGTACGCGGTCGTCTTCATTGACGCTCTCGGCTTCGTCGGGAAAACTTGCGATCTCGGTCGGCTCACTGGGGGTAGCCGCAGGGTCGCCGGCGACCATGGCGGTGGCGTTGGTCTTCTGCCATTGTTTGACCCGGTCGCGAACGCCGCCAGGTTGTTGAAGTTTGCGTACACTTGACTGGCGCATCTCAGCCTTGACGGCATCGAGGCTCTGGCGACGCTGGCGTGAGCGCTCAGCAGCTTTGCGCTGGGGAGAGGGACGGCCGAGAAGAAAGTCGGCGAGCAGGGTTGGTGGCTCCTGCATCGTTTTCCTATTGCTCAGGGCACGCGCGCGAGCGGCGGCAGGCGCGCTTCGAGGGGTCGTCGCTGCCACCCGAGCAGCGACGGGAGTCTTTGGCGTGGCAGTATCATGGATCGTCGTTCCCGGCAG